AGAGAGAGAGAGAGAGAGAGAGAGAGAGAGAGAGAGAGAGAGAGACAGACAGACAGACACAGAGAGAGAGATGTCTGGATCTAGATGTCCGAATAGGAGGCAAAATCAACAAAACAAAATTGCTTTCTTTTCCCATTGTTACGCCCCAAAATGTCTTGTTTTTTTTCTCTGGCCCCTTTAGGGGTGCCAAACAGGTGATGGACTGAGACTAATTCTGATTATTGGGGGGGGAGGGGGGGGGGGGGGAGAGAGAGAGAGAGAGAGAGATGTCTGGATCTAGATGTCTGGATAGGGGCCAAAATCCACAAAACAAAATTGCTTTCTTTTCCCATTGTTAACCCCCAAAATATGTCTTGGGTTTTTTCTCTGGCCCCTTTAGGGGTGCCAAACAGTGATGGACTGAGACTAATTCTGACTAGAGGCGGGGGGAGAGAGAGAGAGAGAGAGAGAGAGAGAGAGAGAGAGAGAGAGAGAGAGAGAGAGAGAGAGGGGGGGGGGGGGGGGGGTACAAGTTGGCTACTCCCTTGAGGTAGGTATGGCCCATTTGTGAAAGTTCTGTAACATGTTTTTTTTTTCTTTCCCCATTATAATCCAAAGGTCCGGATTTTTCCAGACGTCAGTTTGACTGGACGTCCGACTGTGTTCGGGTCCGCATCTGGCGTAGCCATGCCCCTGATGTTATTTATCTAGTAGGATTTGGACTTACTATCGGTTTCGCAACAGCTACATCGGTCTTACAAGCTGTTTAGTGACAGCTACATGTGTGTACTATCCAGCCATAAGCCTCCTAAGGTCTAACATTAATACATTATGCTATGCCGCTGACTCCATCAGGATTTGAAATCATAATCTGTTCATGGACCACTCCGGCAGCGATATGGGCACAGGTTGGTGCATGAGGCTTCAGCCGCTTTACCAATTCTTCGCAGTATGGATTTTGTTAATAATGAGAGCTTGATTCATTCATTCGCCGCACGCATCTGAACAGAAGGGGATGATGATATTGCCTTCATGTGGGAAATTCCTGTAATTGCAATTGCATCTGGGAAAGGAAAAAAGAGACAAAAATAATGCTATTGCATCTGAACTTCTGAAGCTTTTGACCCAGTCCCCATGTGGCTGGATGATAAGGACTGCCACTGGCGCTTGTGATGCTCCACCTCACACCCCGCACGACGTCCTGTACTCGCGAACGCCAGAGTAATTGGGGGTGTGGCCGAGGATTTTTGGCCGGCGGGGTTGAATCGCCTGGGGGGAACGGGGGATTCTTTTTTCGTACCGAGGCGGGTCTTGAATTTGGGCTGTCGTCAATGGCAAAAGAGAGAGAGACCAGGGAAGGAAAATAGGTTATTTCGAGATGACAGGTTCTATCCGGTTTTCAAAAACTTGCACTCGATCGGGAGGGCTGCAAGCGACGTACTACCCAGCCAACCACGAACAAAACCGGAAGGAAAAGAAAAAGGGACTGGGGGAAGGGGAATTCACCGCTCCTTTCACGCTAGGTTCATGCTCACTCGGTGGCGGAAGGCCCCCAAAGGCACTGCATTTTCATGCCTCGGTGTCAGATTCATTGAGTCCGCGCGGGCGTCCCGATGCAGTGTCGCTTAGTTTAGGCTGGGCTGGGGGAACCCAGGTCCGGAAGTTAGCTGGGAGCGCACCCGCGTTGCGGGAGAGTTCTGGGAATCGAGCCGTACCTTTGTATCCCAGGACTAATCTTCGCCAGGAACACGAATATCCCTGGCGACACCAGCGACATTTAAGCCGAGGCTGCCACGTGGTGTGGGCTGCGGACCAAGGTAACACTGTCAGATCAGTGTAGGGCAGGATTAGGGAAGGGGAAGAGAACCGGTCAATCAACACAGACCCACTCCCTCCCATGTGGCAGGCCATGGCGGGGTTATGCAGATAAATCTGCTCAGTTCGTTGCAGAGTGTTTCGTACATCCGCGTCGCAGTACACAGTATCGTCGACTGCGATCGGGAAGGACGGTAGCACGTTGCGATGAACCGATGTGAAGGTTGAGCACGGGCAATGGCCCACGCCCACGTTCGACGAGACGAACATTGACTCCATACAAAGGTCAATGAAACCCGCCTTACTCTCTCTCTCTCTCTCTCTCTCTCTCTCTCTCTCTCTCTCTCTCTCTCTCTCT